CTAAATTATGGAAGTTGGTTCCCTAGGCCAACCAGAGACTGAATACTGATTCAGAATAAAGAATGGAAAGAAAAAGACTGTGAAAGACCTTGAAATTGAAATATATGTATTTCTATCTATAAGTCCAGGAAGATATCTTTTGCAGCAGCATTCTGATATGAACAAGCAAGATTAGACTTGAGAATGTTGCAGTAGTCAGTTTATGAAATTATGATAACCTAGTCTAGATTTACTCCTGTATAGATGCACAAAAAAGCCTTTATGCTGGACAGAAGGAATCTGAATCTTGGATGTAGCATTGATATCAAGTATCTGGAATTTCAACAAAAATTTAAATGCCTACACTACAGATGAATTGCTGTTAGTAAAGCTGTTATTAATTGAGAAAAAAGGTAGTGGGTGAAACTTCAAGGGAAGAAATTAAAAATGTATTAAGCTTGATCTGACATATAATCATACTTTAGAAGATGTCAGAACGTTTCTTAGACCAACCAGAGCAGGTACATACAATACTTAATTTTTCTTTTTCAGAGATTGCTTGCATATATAATATATATATATAAGATATATATATATATATGTATGTATGTATGTATATAAATATAAAGACAGAAGAGAATCATAGAATCACAGAATTAACTGGGTTGGAAGGGACCTCCGAGATCATCAAGTCCAACCCTTGATCCAACCCTGCCGTGGTTCCCAGACCATGGCACTGATGCCACATCCAGTCTCATCTTAAACACCTCCAGCTCCCTCAGCCTCTCCTCACAGCACTTGTGCTCCAGACCCTTCCCCGGCCTCGTTGCTCTTCTCTGGACCTGCTCCAGCCCCTCCATGTCCTTCCTGAACTGAGGGGCCCAGAACTGGACACAGCACTCCAGGGGTGGCCTCACCAGTGCTGAGTCCAGGGGAAGAATCACTTCCCTACTCCTGTTGGCCACACTGTTCCTGATCCAGGCCAGGATCCATTGGCCTTCTTGGCCACCTGGGCACACTCTGGCTCATGTTCAGCTCCCTGTCCATCCCCACTCCCAGCTCCCTTCCTGCCTGGCTGCTCTCCAGCCACTCTGTCCCAGCCCGTGGGGCTGCCGGGGGTTGTTGTGGCCAAAGGGCAGGACCCAGTCCTTGGCCTGCTTGAACCTCATCCCCTTGGAATCAGCCCATGGATCCAGCCTGTCCAGGTCCCTCTGCAGAGCCCTCCTGCCTTCCAGCTCATTGACACTCCCCCCCAGCTTGGTGTCATCTGCAAATTTGCTGATGATGGACTCAATCCCCTCACCCAGATCATCAATAAAGATATTAAACAGGACTAGGCCCAACATTGATCCCTGGTGTGCTCCCAGCAGCCGTTTAAATCCCTCGTGGATGGGCTGGGTTCTGGCCCCTAGTCAGCTGACTGGCCTCCCAGGAGACCTCCAGAAGATGATAAAGAGAGGTCATAAAGCTGGGCTGAGTAGAGGTAGGGAGAATAGAGAAGAGAGTCTCACTAGAGGTGCCTCCCACTACTTTTCCAAGGTACACTGTGGCAGTGCAGCAGCCTGAAAACACAAAACGTATGGTCAAGGTCTGTCTTCCTTTGGACTTGCTGAATATAAGTATGGCTAATTTAGTATGTGACTCTTTCAACCCCTCTTTTAAGGTGACAACAAATGATTATATAGAGAATTTCCTGAGTTTTATCATTAAAGAGCTCTTGATAGTGATGGTTTTTACTCACACGTTCTTTATGATGTGTAGTTTAGCACATTTTATAATGTGCACGGTGAAGGAGATTGATTGTCTCAGGCAGGCTGGGGCTGCACCACATGTGACACTAATGAGACACTGCACAGGGATGCAGAAAGAAATGAGCTCTAGCTTTTGTCCACCACACCTCCTGGTGTTGGTCTGTAGCAGCACACAAGTTCTAGATTTCCAGCACAATGAGAATAAACAGTATTGATCTTATGTCAAGTAAGATTTTGAAACGCACATGTGAATGTGAGCAAAAGAGAAGAAGCTTCCCTTCTGAATAATGTATCTTTCTCTCTTCTACAGGAAAAAATGGAAATGACTGGAACATTCAAACAACAAAAATTTCGCCTTGTGGATGAAGGTTTTAATCCATCTACAATTACTGATCCTCTTTATTTTTTAGATAATTCTAAGAAAGCATATGTCTCGTTAACCAAAGAAGTACATGAGATGATCTTATCTGGGAAAATGAAGCTTTAATTAACCAAATAATAGGCTCTTAAGGATCAGTCTATAGGACCTATTGTATGAGAAAACAATAAAAGTAATTACCAGTATTTATACGTAGTTATCTCCAGAATAATGTTTTATATATTTGGTATTTACATTCAGATATGTCTTATATCTTTACTTACTTTATCATTATTTTTATTGATCACTTTTTACCTCTTGAGACAAATTTCTAAGTAAATAACCTGTAAAACATGATTGAAATCTATTTTATCTTAACTTTGGAATATAAGTGCTGAATCTGATACTTTTTCTTAGTATTATATGAACATGAATGATAAAAAATCGTAAAAAAATATTCAATATATAAAGATATTGTGTCACACATTGTGTCTAAAAAGAAAAAATACGCGAGTAACATCTTTTTTTATGCAGTTTATATTTTATATGTACTTCCCAATATGTATTTCAAGAAGTAAAGATTTGACAGTGGCTGGAAGAAAAAAAAAAAATTCTTCTGCAGAGACTTTTCTGATGGAACATAAGATGAAAGAAACTGAAGCAGAAGAAAGCTCTCCAAACAAAGCCAAATACTAACATCACTGCTGAGGTTTTTTATTTTTTTTTTGTCATAATCCACCCTCTTTTATTTGTTAAACTGGCTGTTTGGACTGTCAAATTCTGAAGACAAAGCAAACTTTTGCAAAATGTTTATCAGCTGATGAACAATAGGCAGAGAAAATCTGCCTGCTTAATGGGGAAAATTGTTCATATAGCGTAAAAAGAATTATTGCAGGACTTTGTCATGCATACTGACTAAGAAATAGCTTCCTTACTCTTATTAATGACTGTTATAGATCATTATTTAATAAATATAAAATATAGTAGAAAATTTAAAATTCTAAATTCTGTGTCCTAATAATTGCTTTTTATGACTTTTACAATAAAATATAAGATAATTTAAACCAAATACCCTATGGTCTCAGTTTGATTTAAGTCTGATTGCATAAAGTCTGTTTTCTAGCCTCTCTTGATACACTGCGTGCTCAGTGTCATGTTCTAATGGATCGTGATGATCTTGAAATCAGCCAGAAGCAATATCAGGGAATACTGAAAGGGTGACTTTCTTCAACACGGGGCACCATATTTCTCTCTTCTGTCATAACAGTGGTATGAAACCAGGTTCTCATAAAAGAGTAGGATGTAAGACATTTTAAAAATAACTATATTTGCTTGTGTCTTCCTAATTTTTACACCTAACAAGACACTAGAACCTGTGTCAACTCTCGAATCTCTGATTATCACTTTCACTGACTCTCCTTAAAAACCCAAACCAAGGTTGCAGTAAAAAATATATATAATATATAAGCTTCCTTATATTTTTTAACATATGTTCTTTATGGGACTGCCAGTATAAATAAGCGAGTTTACAATTTGGCAATTTACGAAGCAGTGAGACCTTACAGTACTTACACCAACGTCATGCTTTATGGTAGATGTTAATAAGAAGTTCATAATGGGGGCTGGAGAGAAGTGCTGCATAAGGATGGTGGGGGTCACTATGGCCCAGCACTGCCTGAGCAGTCCCACTTTGTCTGTTTCTGTAGGCAGTGCCCACATGGCTGTCTAAGGCAGAAAGCTGTGGTGGGGTGTGCTTGTTCAAACAGATGGAAGTATTGTTGCTCTGTTCTGCAGAGGCACTTTCCTAGTCAGCTGCAAATTTAAGAATGAGCTATTTACTACAAAGTTAAACCCAACTTTCCAAGTTAGCCTGCAATCTTTAGTAAAGTGTTGATTGTTGAAATCACAGCTTTTGTATCTCTTACATAAGTGTGTGTTGAATATAATTCAGGATCCCTTTTCTTTTGTTGCAACAGTAAACTTTACATTCTTTCTATGGAAAATAATTGTTTGGGTTTTTTTTAAATATTTGCCCCCAAAAAAACGGTACCTTGAGATCCACAGTAGCACATTTAATCTTGTAATAGAATATAAAAGAATATAATGAAATCAAATACTTAGCTTTGGTGTCATATTTAGCACTTCTAAAATTTATTTTGCTCTGCAATATTTGATAGCACATATGACTAGTTCTACCACTTAAATGCAACAGAAATGGGAGGGGAAAAAAGTGAAAAAAAAAAAGAAGAAAACACTCTCCCATAAAGAAAGAAAAAAAAAAAAAAGAAAAAAAGAAAAGAAGCAAAAACCTGTTCATGAATGTCACCATTTGGTCACTTGTTTTGTAAAGTATCTAATATTGTTTTTGTGAAGAGTAGTTGGGTCAGAGAAACATCAAAGACCAGCGTATGCATGCTAACTTTCATGCTCTGTCCAGTACTGGTTCAGTAGATGTTTCTGAGCTCTGGAGCACATTTTCAGCAGCTATGGGACTCTACTAACTTAGCTGGGTTGGGCAGCCTACAGGTATTTGTTTCCCAGCTGGGACCACTAGTGAAATACAGAATTCCAGCTACTCTCCTGTTTTCCTTTGTGCGACCAAGACAGCCTGGGCAATCTGCCTGTTATCAAAGGCTAGTAAAATAGTTTTGTCCCATCCACATTAAATGGATGCTTATGATGTCAAGAAAATAATAAATGGAAAATCTACAGAATCATAGGCTCTGTATTTCCTAAGGGGAAAACTGTATATTATGTTCAATCCAGCAGTTTTATTTCTTTTAGCCAGTAGGTTAGGTGCCAGTAGAAGCACTGAAGCATGTTGCAGCAAAATGCCTTCTCTCCCATGGATATGTAAATTGTTGAACCAGCAGTGTAGTAGAATGAGAAAATATTTAGACTAACCTGTTTGTTTCCTACCCTCACACCCAGATCAATATCTGGATGGCTGAGGTCTGAGGGCTTTAGTGTTGCTGCAAAATTATGCTCCAGTAGTTACCTGGGAAATTTAATTTCATGCAGTAGGGATAAAGAAGTGGATGAGGGGTGGCTGGGGTGTGGATGGAGAGCTGCAGTGCCAACCTCCTGTACTAAAGAAAAGAAGAGAGAGAAGATTAAAATAAATTAAGGTAATTAATCTAAGGAGGGTCAATGGTGAAAGAAATGTTTATCAAAAAAAAACAAAAAAGAAAAAAAAGAAGAGATTGAAGTTAACACTTAGGGAAGGTAAAATTCTGAGAGGGTGAACACACATCCACTCTCTTGTCCCACTTAATCTGATACAGACAGTACAGTTATGGTCTGGATTAGCTTTCATAAATCTTTTTCAGGATCCCCCAAAAAAACCAAAAAGTTCCTAAGCAGATCACAGGCATGAATTTTGTTTTCCTCACCCAATTTGGACAGATAGGACTTTTCAAGAGAATTCCCATAGCTGTGACAGCCACTGTAAAGAATGTATTTCAATTGACCTACAAATTCCCTGCAGATGAAGTACAGAAAACATCTTTTACTGTTGCTTTTTTTTTTTTTCTTTTTTTTGGAGAAAAAGGAGTTAAAGGGAGGAGGAGAAGTTTTACCTGCATTTTTAAAATCTAAAAATACTGGAGAGCTATAGGAGGAAAGACAAAAAAGAAGTTCTTCTTTAAAAAAAAAAAAGTGATGGTTTATTTTTCAGCAGCCTGTCCCCCTGTCCCCAGCTAACAGTTCAACTAGTAATTTGATATGCATCTTTAGAGCAGAAATAATAAGACGTACCAGCATTTATGAAACTTATTCATTAGGTCAAGACTAATCTCAAGCAAATAAAGTCTTTCTGTTTAGTATTTGCTGCCAAAAACATTACATGCAAAGATTCAGCAGACAGCCAAACAAAGCTGCATGTGAATAGTAGTAATTTTAAGAGTAATTTTAGTGTGATATGTATTATTAGCAGTACTGTCAATACCTGACAGTATGATCTGGCAATTAATTTGGCCATATGGGTAACATCAGAAGATCATCTGCTTGTGTCCTGATATTCAGGACATAATACCTTACACATTGTACCCTCAATTAGACAAAGGGATTATATGATCATGCAATGCTAGTTCTAAGCAAACTAGATCATATCAGAGTGAAATTAAATTCCTGTGTCACTAACAAATCTACAAGTCTGAGAATCTTTTACCAAAATAGACTTAATTGAGTTTCTCTAAAGACTGCAATAAGCACAGCTCAAATCAAACAGTCAGGAATTGCTTTTGCAATACAGTGAATCAGGCTTTGTTGCTGCCTTGCAGAAGGAGCAGGATACAATGAACTATTTCCATCTGAAGCTGTTCTGGCATCGTGAGGTTATGCATTATGTCAGCTGGACCATACACAGGATTAATCCTTACTGATAAATAAAACCAGTACTTAGACTGGCACAAAATCATTCACTACTGTGGCTCCTTCAAGTAACTGATACTGCTATGTTGACAAAAATAATGTTTCTCTCAAGTATGTATGGACAGTGTTGCTAGTATGGAACTGGCCAAGTTTGGTAAGATGCTTTTTGTGGTAGTTTTGGATTTAGAACTCAAGTAAATGGCTCAGTCCACTTAAAAACCAACCAACCAACCAAATAAAAAAACCAACCCAAACCTAAACCTCACATTATAGCAAATTGAGTAATGAGTATTTAATTATTTGAAGCACATTGTGCAAGAAAAGAGTGAATGCCTCGATGGGACTTCTAATACGAAGAGTCTTGCTCATTCAGTTCAACCTACTGAGTACAGATGAACAGAACTGTTGGTCTTTTATAGTGCTTATAGTATGGAAGGGCACATATTTGATTTTAAAATACTGTCTAAAAGAGCTGATTTGATCCAAAACCAGACAACTCATTTCAGGGTACGGTTATTTGTCTGACAGAATTAATTTCTAATCTGTTTTTGCAGGGTATTTGTGCATCATTCTTAACTACATGAGGCCAAAACAAGTGGCAACAGGATGATGGGTAACAGAGAAACTAACTGATGGCTTTGTGAGTAACGACAAATGTTAGCTGTGATTCAAGAAGAAATACATTGTAGTGATTAGCACAATTTCCATTCAATTTTCTATGTTTTCTGCCTTTCCTGTTCATTCTTTTCTCCATGCTAATAAAAGAATATACTTGCATCCCCAATTTTTTTTTTAAATTCATAACAGTAAGTTAGGAAGTTGCTAATGCTGAAACTAGTCATGTCACGTTGGAACTCTGTTGAACCCAATAATTAGTAGTGACTTAAGTTTTATACTTGATATGTGAAAATTTGCTCAAGGGGATTTAAAACAACATTGGACTTGTTAAGATCATGGTGTCAGTGAAAGCAAAGAAGTTAAGCATGCAGGCATTACCAGGTAGCTGCCTTCAAAAATCTGGCAAATTACTTTTTTCTCCAAATGCAGAACATAGTTACAGTAATTTAAAAAAAAAATAAAAATTGAACACCAACAGAATTTACTAAAATATAGCTAACTATGAGATCATTAAATACTTGTGCAGTACCCAGGTATTTCCAAACCTTTTTTTTTTTTAATAACTAATTTCTACTAGGCAGCTCACGACACTTTTCTAACAACATATTTAACACATGTACCTTCTATTATATGCTAATAATTATCTCCACTGAGTGGACTGCAGTTTAACAGTAAGAGACTCAATCACTACTACTCCTGGTTTTGTTTTGTTTTGTTTTAATTTTTGCTATCAGACTTGTTTTTTTCACCTTTGCAGCTTAGGCAGAAACACGTGTGCCATACCAGTCATAGGTCATGAGCAAACTGTGAAGAGGAATTAGTTTGTGCTGGAATATATTCCCCATGTATGAGGATTTGTTTTTATTATTATGGAAAAGCATGAACTTGAAGATAGATCTCTGGGGAGGGATGCCTAAGCATTAGCTCATTCTAACAGCTTCTTGTCCTAAAGGTATGTAGGCATAGGATGCTACTCTCAGATCTTGCTCTAGTTACATTTGAACTAAAAGACTTCTCAGTAGAAAAATAGTCATGGGCAGCAAAACTGACACGAACATCAAGATTGTCTTCTGACATTTAACTTTTTTGTCAAGGAAAACTACCAGCTATCATCTTGAGTGGGTGCAGAAGAGCTAATGATGTCATTCATCCAAATGTCAAAATAAAAGGTATTTATTTACTTGTCAGCTTCTAAAAAACAGCATGCAGGAGCCATAGTTTGTCTTCCACTTCACTGAAATGACAATGAAATTCAATACTTCTAGAGGACAATTCTATTGTGGTTCTACTTAAATGAACATCACGTGAGGGGCTGAAAAAGACACCTTTTAAATATCTCCATCAGTTGCATTTTTTGGTGCAAAGTTCTGATATTTTTTCTAAATTATTAAAAATAAAGTTGCCAAGAAAACCCAAAGTGGTGGTAAATGTCTAAAAGACTAAGAGACTATCATTTTGGAAAAGTCTGGATTAAAACTCCAAAGGTATGGCACATTTTGAAGTCCTAATACTCAGAGCCCTTCCACTTATAAGCTTCTACCGTTACCATGTTTTTTATTGTTTTGAGCACATATATATATGTGTCTCTTCACATATATATATTTTAGTTTGAAGAAGAAAAGGCTCTGAGGAGATCCTATAGAAGCCTTCCAGCATCTGAATGGGGCTACAAGAAAGTTGGAGAGGATTTTTTTACAAGGGCATGGAGTGGCAGGGCAAGGGACAATGGCTTTAAACTGGAGGAGGATAAATTTATATCAGATATTAGGAAGAAATGCTTTATTATGAGAGTGGTGAGTCACTGGAACAGGTTACCCAGAGAAGCTGTGGATGCCCTATCCCTGGAAGTGTTCAAGGCCAGGTTGCATGGAGCTCTGAGCAGCCTGGGATAGTGGAAGGTGCACGTGCCAACAGAAGGGGAAGTGGAAGTAGATGGTCTTTAAGGTCCCTTCCAGTGCAAATCATTCTACAATTCTGTGATACTAAACAAGAGAGATCCGAGTTCCTGGTTCATTTGAAGCCATCATGCCTCAGGAGCAATGTTGCTCATTTTGCAGCTGAGTAGCTGAAGGAAATGCAGTTGCTGCAGGCACTGTTTCAGTGCCCAGCTCAAGAGCTCAAATGCTTAGTGAAATTCACAGACAGAATGCTGGATGACTGAGTCTTAAAAAAATGTGAGCGGGAGAGTTATATGCCTGAGAGTAAGAGCCACAAAAGCCAGCTCAAAGAGCAAGAACTGCCTAAACTGACTAGCAGGGAGCAGTGAGAAGAGGATTATGTCTTAGATCCATCTCCTGCCAGCACGTAGGCATCTAACTCTCATTTGCTGGGAGCACAGAGATATCTGAGCTTTCACCTAGAATGACATAAAACCAATTTTTTTTTTTTGCAAACCTTGCGATTCTACAGATGGCCATGAAAAAGTAGCCATACATATTCAGCTCAGTTTCTATCCAAGCATTTCATTAGAATCATAAATTAAAGAGAGGAAATTACTTATTGATGACATGTGAAAGCTCTGTAATTGGTCATATATCACTGTGGCAACAAAGCCATATTCTGTCATAAGATCAGGAAAACCTCTTCTGGACTACAGAAATTGTAACTCCATTTCCACTTTGCTGGCCACAAAAATCCAATTTTTTGTGAAAAGAAGCTTACATCTACCCAAATGCCTGTAATCTGCCATTAACAAACTGGTTTTGTTGGGAAATTCGCAGATCAAAACAATATTAAGTATGACGCACCATTGTCTTAGTCTGTTTTTGGCATATCTCTGCTACAATGAGGAGTCCCTGTGCCATTTTTCAGGCATGTTCTGAACTAGCTGGAGGTAGTAAGTTTTGCCTCGATGCACAGATTATTTTAAAAGACCTTTTGGCTTCCTCTTTTGCTATATTAAAATTGAATTTCTTCAGAGAAACGTGGCATACAAGAAGGCTTTTTGTCAAATATTTTTGAGATCACTCACTTTGTTCAGTTAGCTCATAACATTAAACACTCCCTAACTAAAATGTTGATCCTATAGTCTGTATTTTTTTTTAACCCCTCTATGTGATGTTCAGAAAAAGTTCTTCTTAGACAACATGTCACCTAGTTAAGATAATCTCTGCCTTGCTTTGTTATATGAAGACTGGTGTCAAAAAAGGACTCTCTAAAGCCTGTTTCTAGAGAAAAAAGTTTTCAGGACTGTCAGGGAACTACCAATAGCTTTTCATTTACACAGTCAGGTGTGGCAATTACCCTCATGTTAGCTGCAGTGTACATGTTCTGCAGGAAATTCCCAGAACTACATTCAGAACCTGTATATTTAGGCCTATTCAGCATTTAAATGGAAACCATTCTGCCTGCATCCCACAAATCTCAGTATCTTGATTTCTGTCATCACCATCCTGCATCTGTTTAAAAAATAAAATTGTTACACATTCTCAGTAGAGGAGCCAGCAGGACCCTAAAACTGTGCAGTGAAATCAACTCAAGCAATACACTAGACAGCATTGTTGCATTTAATAAAAGGCCTGTTGCATGCAATAAAATATTAAAACAAAAACGTATGACTCATTTTGTTAACCTTCTGTTATAAAAATAACTCTACTTAGATGCAAGAGAATGAGGTATTTGCTGTGACATTAAGATTAGAGTCACTCAGAAGAAGTTATTTGAAAAATTTATGTCCAGTTTCCAAAACTGCAGCTTTTCAAAATCCTACTACAAATTTTTTGAACAATTAGAATTTGTACTACAACCGCTAGTCCAACACATCTGGAAGCTGCTGGTCATCACAGAGGTTCTTACTGCAAATTCTTGCAGAGGATAGGGCATCACACCTGGCAACAAATACAGCTTAAAGCCATAATCTTGCATTTGGCCCTGGAGTTCTGCTTTCCCGTTCTTTTTCTAAACCCCAAATAAAACATGTAGCCATTTGAACTAACCCCCAAAGGTTATACAGAAAAATGGAAAGGATTTCAGCTATTGAAACTCTTAGTGACACTCAGAATGCTGTTCAGTTGAACCCACTGAAACACACACGGGGGATGATATTATCCCTGCATATTCCATTGCATTGCTCTTTGTTAATAAGATCCCGTCCAAATTCATGACTTTTTTAGCCCTAACTTTCAACAAATACTTATTTTACAGTCCATCATGGAACAAACAGTAACAGAAACCCTATTACTAGAAATCCCCCCAAAGACAAAGATCTTTAAGCAAAAGAAAAAGCACTTCTTTTTTCTTCACTTTCTGTCATCTATTGCTTTTACTTGGATGTTGCAGCAATAAAGCCAGACTCCAGAAACAGTTTTGTAACTACTAAAGGTCTCAGACACATCTATGAATCTGTTTGCAAAACAGGTCAACTGCTACTCAGCTTTGCTGGTATGAATATAATCTATTAATTCCACAGGTGGCGGCAGACCTGGAGAGATGATAAGGCTATTCATTCTGATGTCTTCAAGATTCTGACAGTAGAAGCTAGCTAAAAATAACTAGCTGTACTCTGGACCTCTTCTTTCTTCTATGTTCCATTAATCCATTAAAAAAAATGAAAGAAAAAAAAAGTTACCTTTTTACCTATCCAAGGCAAAGGATAATTATTTTATGCAAAATCACTCATGGATTAAGGTTTCCTGGAAATAAACCCATGAATCCCCTGAGAAATGAAACCCACATTCTGCTAATGCAGAAGTTTGTCAGGCAGATGTTCCAAATGATAGTAATCAAGCTCAAAAGCTTTTGAAAGAGCTCTTGAGTTAGTAAATTACATCCTCAAAATAAAATATTTAGAACTGGGACACTGAGGAGTGGGGTGACTGATTTAAAAATAGACAGAATGGAGATAAATGCCGACAGTAAAAGAGCAGGCAGAAGATATTTCTTTAAAAATCTCTAACATTTTCCTCTGTCTTACAGTTGGCTGATATACCTCATAAGAGTGGAACTGCACTTTCCAGCATAGGTCAGAGCCTGACAAAGAGGAAAGCATATCAAGAGAAAATGTGTAGGCAAAATGTAATAGAAGCACCTTGTTTATTTGGGTAGCTATTCACTCTGAGAAAGGAGCAGAGAGGGTAAGAATTTGATTGCATTTAAATTAACACTGTGGAGTTTAGCTCTAAGTAATTGTGCTGGGTTTTGGGTGGGGTAGAATTAATTGCCTCCACAGTGCCTAATATGGGGCTGTGTTTTAGATTTGTGCTGAACACAGGGTTGAAATGATAATACAGAGATGTTTTTGTTATTGCTGAGCAGGGCTTACACTGAGCCAAGGCCTTTTCTGCTTTTCATACTGCCAAGCTGGGGAGGAAATTGGGGGTGTATGGGAGGCTGGGAGGAGACAGAGCCGGGACAGGTGACCCAAACTGACCAAAGGGATATTCCAGACCATATGACATGCTCAGTATAAAAAGTGGGGGGAAGAAGGAGGAAGAGAGGGGTGTTTGGAGTGATGGTGTTTGTCTTCCCAAGTCACCATTACATGTAATGGGGCCCTGCTCTCCTGGCGATGGCTGAACACCTGCCTGCCCATGGGAAGCAGTGAATTAATTCCTTGGTTTCCTTTGCTTGTGTGCAACTTTTGCTTTCCCTATTAAACTGTCTTCATCTCAAGCCCTGAGTTTTCTGGCTTTTCCCCTTGTGATTCTCCCCCTGGTCCCGCTGGTGGGGGAGAGACTGAGTGGCCGTGTGGTGCTTGGTTGCCAGATGGGGTGAAACCAGGACAGGAATCTGTTCATATTTTTAAAGGCTAATTTGTTCACCTGATGATGTATCTGCCAAAACTAGGCTTCGTGCTTCATGCTACACAGTTACAGACCTCCTGTCAAAACTCTGTGTGCACCAACAGGCTCTTCAAGCTGCTTCCATGGGGGTCTGGCACCCAACTGCAGGGGAAGAGAGGCAAGCTGCCTTTCAAGGCCCTCCCTTCCTGCCTTTGCCAGGGTGCTGCTTCTGCTTCTAACCTCAGGCCTTTGAGTGATGTTACAGGTATCACTGAGCCCTGACTTGATGATTCCAAGTAAGAAACTGGGCAAGGAAGGCAAGAGACCGGCACGGCTGAGTCAGGAGCTGCTGGTCAAACTAAAAGGAAAAAAGCAAATGCACAGGGAGTAGGAATAAGGACAGGTAACCTGGAAAGAGTATTGGCATAATGTTTGGTTGTGTAGGATGGGGTGGGGAAGGTGAGGAATACCAAGGTAAAGCTCAAACTAAACCAGGCAAGGGATGAAAGAGTAACAGGAAGGGCTTCTACAGGTATGTTAACTAGAAAATGAAGGTGGCCATCAGGGTGAGGGGAGTGATTCTGCCCTCCTCCTCTTCTCTGGTGAGACCCCACCTGGAACACTGCACCCAGCTCTATGCTGGGGCCCTCAGCATAGGAAGGACATTAACTTGCTGGAGCAAGTCCAGAGGAGGGTTACCACGGCCCACGGGGAAAAGGAATGGGACCGGGCACTGCAAAAAGAGGTCTTGACACAGTAGAGGTCAGTGAAGCAATGCCAATTTTATTGGGGGAGCATGAGACTTAAATAGGGTAGGATAGGGAGGCGGAACCAGGAGAGGGGAGGAGTCTAGGATTGGCAGCTCAGGGACACATGTGATAGGGCAACTGGGTAAGAAAGGGACGAGTTTGGGTGTAACCGGGGAAATGGACCAATGGTAGCTGCCTCTGCACTGCACCAAACATCAGCCAATGGCAGGCAGAGGAGCGGGAAAACAGGGTTTAGGCGGGAAAACTGTGAGGGGAAGAAGGAGACAATATGGAGGGCAGAATTTTAAAACAACAACTGGGGGTATACACAACCATATAACAGTATAACAGTGAACTGGGGAAAACTGGGGATAACAAGGGAAACTGTCCAGTCCGGTGTAAGGTCACATCCAGTAAATAAATGTCCATTTCTGTGTAATGGTGTCTTATTCAGGATTGTAGATTTGTCTCCAGGCTTGAAATTGCTTCCACTCATCTGTGTGTTTCCCAACAGAGGGTTATCAAAGATGATTAGAGAGATGGAGCACCTTTCCCATGAGAAAAAGCTGAGAGAATTCTGATTGTTCAGCCTGGAGCAGGGAGAGTCTCAGGGTGACCTAACCGTGGCCTTCCAGTACCTCAAGGGGGGCTACAAGAAGTCTGGAGAAGGATTTTTTACAAGGGCATGTAGTGGCAGGACAAGGGGTGATAGCTTTAAACTGAAAAGAGAGTAGGATTAGCTTTGATATTAGATATCATTAGATATAGAACAAATTCTTTACTGTGAGGGTGGTGAGGCACTGGAGCAGGTTGCCAGAGAAGCTGTGGATGCCCCATCCTTGGCAGTGTTCAAGGCCAGGTTGGATGGGGCTTTGAGCAATCTGGTCTAGTGAAAGGTGTCTATGTCCAGGGCAGGGGGGCTGGAGATAGATGATCTTTAAGGTCCTTTCCAACACAAGCCATTCTACAATTCTTTGATTCTAACCCTGACCTGCTGTCCTGGCTTTCTTGGCTTGGCCTTGGATCTGCCTCATTGTTAGAGACTGGGCTGTCCCTGAACTGCTCTGCTTTTCTGGTCTGCTGCAGCACTGTGTCCCTGATGGTCAATGTGTTGCCTCCGACCAGCTTGCTGCCATCCCCAGTGCCTGAGCAGTATTTTCCTGGTGGAATATCCTGCTTTTACACAGCAAACCCTTCACATACACTCAGTTATTTCTAGAATTCCAAAACAAGCAGCTCAGAAGGCTTTGCAGCCCATAAAGACAGGTGTATTAGGAAATATACCATTAGTTACTTTACCTTGAGGCTTTTTTTAGTTTAAATGCCATTTGGTTGAATTTAATGTCCTCAAGGAGCTGACTAAGAAGTATGTAAAACTAGAGAGAAAAAGGACAGTTATTGCAAGCTTGGTTCTGTTCTCAGAGTGAGACAATAGAGAAAATTTCAACTCATCTTTGATGGCTGAAGAATAGTTTCATTGTTCTGACTATTAAAATGCATCAAGTGCTTTCCTTTTTTTATCAGTATATGTAAACTACTGTTTCAGTTATTACAAAAAAGTCATACAGTTTACAGTTAGGTGTTAATATAATAAAACAGTGATAGTTTGGGAAAATGAACAGCATTTGTGATTCCGTGCACATCACTTAAAAAGACAATAGAATTCAATAAATTGAACTACTCCTATTTGTGGAAGAAGAGTCTCATTCTACCAAATGTCCCTGAGTACAATGTATATCTTCCACTGTGGAAAAGGCTACCACAGTGTACTGATGGAGAGTCACATATGTATACATTTATTACAGCTGTTGTTCACAATAGCAAAAGCCACCATAGTTGGGGACAGAAACAGAATGCCAAAGCATGATGAAAACAGTAGAGATGGAAACAAAACTGGGAAGGAATCTGACCTGGCAGCCACTCACTCATGAATAAACACCTCATGTGCGGGAGAAAATCTGTTCAAAGTGTGAAAAACCTGACTACTTGGGGAACCTAGACTTGCCTGACAAATCCCTAGATCTCTGGCCAATCAACATTTTATTGTTGATTTACCACTGTCACATTTTATTATCCTATTGTAAGTGCTGTTATATGTGACAGGAATTTAGGATACTAAAATACGGCCTGAATGACACAGTATTGAATTATTAACAGAGGAGCTTTAAAACACCTATCAAGCTCCAAAATCAGAGGATGATCAGAGATCCATCCCAGTAATGTGCTTTTTATTTCAAGGTACCATTGTATATAAAGGTACGACATGGCAGGTGATATTGGAAGCAAACCTAACACCTCAGGTATGCAGCACAGACAGCAAGTAAATCTGCCTGGAAGCCCAGTGTCAAGGGTAGTTTTAAAATACAATGCAGATCTAGCCAGATATATTAAAGTCAATAGAGAGTTCAGGTAAAACTGCAAAGCTGGGACTGCAAAACTAAGCTATTGGTGCTGAACTGCCTGATAATGTGGATACACTGCTACGACAAGGTAAGCTTAAATACAGGTTTGCAGGACAAGGTGCAAGCTCCAACAAAGGTTTCTGTGGCAATGCTCTAACAGTGTCATCTGCAACATGCCCTCATAGGGAATAAAAGCAGTAATTTGGACATGAGATGAAAATAACTCTGAAATATCACAGGGGAATGGGTTACACAAACACAATAGAAAGTCATTGAATCTGCATAGAAAGGCAGTTTTATATTTTATGCATACAGGTTTATGAAGAACAGTAGTATGGCTGTTCCCTTTTCCTTGACTTCCTTCCTATTGGAGATGCGTAAATTCCAGGCAGTGGTGATGCCAAAGAGGATTCTGACCTTTAAGAAATCTGTCAGCTCTCTCTGATTTTAAAGCTACCTGTGCACTTTGGACTTTCAAAACACAAATCTGTTTACTGCAGGACACGCCTCACCATTCACATTTTGCTCACTGAGAAGGCATCACCAGAGGAGTAAATATTTTTCCTAGAGCTCCCTCTATGCATGATTGCACTGTAATTTTTAACAGAGTACTTTGGGGAGTGTATAATTTTAGTAGATTCAGTTTGACATTGTGTTTCATTCTACAAAGATGACCATATAATGGGTTGTCCAAAGACAGACTGAAATAAACAAGTGAAATAAATCAGGCGGAAATACCCTTCTGAAACTTTGAACTGATAAACTGATAAACCCTTATTTGAAAGTTAGAATACTGAACTGTTTTTTTCTTACAAGAAGCTTACATTTTAATGCTCTGAATTTCAACTTTTGCTCTGAAAACTCACAGTGACTCTCTCCTTACAGTTGGCATTGCATAAGCTTCCCTCTTTCTCACCTTATTGATCCTAGCTCTTGATGGAAGTGCTCCTTAACAGCTGAAAACAAACAAACAAATGATTTCCAGAGGCTGATTTCAGATGACCTTGTTCAGTTCTGCTGCAGGAAGGGAAGGTCCCGTGTGGCTGGCAGGGCCTTGTGTCTGAGCAGAATGCCAATAGACTTGTTGGTAGCAAGACTTCAATATACACATAAATGCTTCAGACCTGGAATAAGGAAATTTGGCTTTCACTCAAAATCTCTGACACTTGAGTAGTTTTCCATCAATTTCTTTATAGTATGCACCACCCAAGAGGTGTATTTGCTGTGATTATATCCCCTTTTTCATGACTTCAGCATATGCTTAGCTTGTAAGCATGAGGTTGGCAGCTTCTTAAAAAAAGACATGGTTGAAGATCAGTTAACACTGAATTTCTAGTAGAAGCAATATTTTTCTTTCTTGTATAAAAGACATTACTTGCAATGCAAAATGCCAAAGAGTTGTGTTACAAATGCTCTTACTCACTTGTGTTATTCACACTGAGTTAAAATATTTTAGCCCAATGTAACGGAGATCATCTGACATTTCTCCTGTGTAGTGCACCATACTTTCTTTTCTTTCTGTGAAGCAAAAAATGCTATGCTGGATTTTGTAGGTGGGCTAGAATCTCATCTTTGTGATAGCGCAATAACTCTGCAACTTAATTAAAGGCAGCCTGGTCAACCACTGCTGTATGATTAAGAGACACATGAAAGGTCAGTGAATCCAACTTACATCCAGCTGGTGGTGCTTGGAAAGTGTCCCTTCCCAAGTCTGTGTCTCAGGCTGATACCTTGAAAACTGAAGATGACCAGAGTTGGGGGTGGAAAAATTAATAGTCTGAGATCTGCTTGCATCAGAAGCATCTTCCTCTGTGGGACAGTACTATCCAAGAACAGGCAGCTACTCAAAAAGACTTAAGTGGTTTCAGAAGAAAAATTAAACTACCTATGAAAAGACTGACTGTGGAGTTGCAGGGGAAGAGAAACTGAAATGTGAAAAGATCCAAGGTGGTACAGCATGACACAAGCAGAGTTAAGGCACTGATATAGGCTAGGATTAGGTGTCACTCGGTAAGGAGAGATGAGTTGCATGGTAAAAAAGCAGCTGGTGGCCTCTGCCTTCATGTCTGTGCAGGGATCTGGCAACTGTGCTCCTCTGCCTGTGAGACCTTGTACAGGGAGGGAGGGAGGGAGGACAGGCCCCCAGTCTGCGTGTCTGGGTCCATCCCCCTGCTTGTTCCTTGACCTGAGGGGCAGCAGGGGCAGTAATGGCCAGATGCAGTAGAAGAGTCTCTTCTCCCCCAGATTTTGGATGAATGTGAATACTGCCTTGCCAATTCCTTGCCATTACATAAACCTCATCCTGTTAGCAAAAACTTTTTCTGTTTTTTA